CTCACGTCTCCCCACTGATGTTCCCTGTGACCTCCTGTGCTCCATGCGCAATTAAGGGTTTCTTCCCGCACATCCGAAATGTGACCTTTTGTGCCTCTAGCCATAGCCGGTTGAGTCCCGTGATTCTAAATGAGTGCCATTTTGTAGACTAGGAGTCTCCCCCAAGCTTTCAGGGTCCCCTATTGTAGATAGACTTGAAGGGTATCTGTGTGGGGTACAGAGTGCTGACCAACAGAAGGTGAGAACACCAGGAAGTATTCCAGCATCCATTGCAGACACTGCTCTCATTCTGTGGATGCTGAGTCCTGGAAGGTCATGGGGAAGGAGCCAATGTCCTTAGTGGCTTCCTCTGAGAGTTCTTCCCCAACAGAGAGCCCTCGGGCCACAGGGTCAGTCTGGCTGCTGGGCTGAGAACAGAATCAGGAGACAAGGGACCAGCGAGGCAGGAGGGAAAGGTGTGAGGAAGCTCCCAGGGTTCCAGGCTGCAGTTGCTGGGTGTTCTGACGAGGCTGTGAGCGGTGGACACAGTGGGAAGGGACTGGACCCTGAAGGCATTTGGAAGATGGAGTTCACAGCATTTCCTAGTGATTAAAACTGGGGTGTGGGAAAGGAGTCAAGGTGGACACCCCACGTTTGTACTGTGCCAGCAGAAAGATGGGGTTATATCAGCAGAGATGGGGGAAGATGCTGGCAGAAAATTGTGTGGGGGAGGGGTGGGCATTTCAAGCTTTCAGCTGAAGAGAAGGTCAAGGTGAGATATCTGATAGACACACCAGTGAGGTGTCAGGTTGGACAGATGAGTGTGGGGACCTTGAGGAGAAATGTCTGGGCTGCAGACATAGGTGTGGAGGTGATGATGACATTAAAGCCGTGAGCGTGGATGAGGCCACCAAGGGAGCCAGGACTGTGGAAGAGGAAAGAACAAGGACTGGACACTGCACCTCCCTGTCCCAACAGTGGGGACATTCATCCTGGTGACCCACCCAGGTTGGTGACAGTCAGGTCTCCCCATCATACAGTCACCATTTGGTGTTAGTCATTCATCAGTAATTTACGGGGAGATACTCTGAGATTGTCCTGCTGTGCTCTTCACCACTTCTACACTCACCCTCCTTAGCCCCTCTCATACCTTCCACCCCAGTCAGCGAAAATATGGTGGTTGTCCTGTACTAGCCCTGAGTAGTTTTCACACGGATGTACAGTACAGCACAGGCAGTACAGTCAGTAATATTGTTGTGAATATTTATGGTGTCAGATGGGTCCTAGATTTATCACACAGATTATTCAATAAGCTATGTAAATGTTTAACCTTTGTGCTTTCCAGCTGAAACTAGTATAATATTGTATGTCAACTGTAATTGAAAAGTAAAAAAATATTCAAAGTTAAAAAAATTATAACTTGGACTTCATGCCCAATATTCTGAGAGCAGTTTTGGGGAGAAATTTGAGTATTTTGTGACAAGCCCACGAGCCACCCTGGTCTCGAGTAGACTTGGATGCACACAATCCTGTGATGCGGTAAGACCCGGGTTGGGAAAGGCCTTGAATCCACATTTCAACGTTCTTCCCACCCTCGGGAAGGAAAGGTAGTTCATAATTTGTCATACGAGGGTGGAAGGTACGTGCTGTTTTCTCTACCATGGGGTAAAGTCAAGCAGAGGATTTAGAAAGTGGCTCTCAGTTCAACATAATGAAAATCTCCAAATGCTCGCTCTCTGCGATTAACCCTCTGACTGATTTTTTTTTGGAAGAAATAATGGAATCCAAAAATTTCTACTTTAAACATAGAAGGATTTCTATGTGGGATATTGGGAGCTCACTTTATTTCAGAAAAAGCTACAGACAGACCTGAGGCCATGAGCAGCCAGAGCTGTGGAACTAGAACCCACAGAAAGACCAGTCTGGGTCACAGGGATGACGGTGTGAGGGACTTGGGGACAAGCTCTGACAAGAGAAGGAGCTGAAGGAAAGGGCCCAGCAGGAAACACCAAGATGGGAGCTGCAGGCACAGATGTCCCTGCACCCCAATGACATGTGATCTAAAGCTCAAGTTCTACCCAGGGGACAGGGGACACTTTCTGTGTCTCCTGCCCACTGCTCCTGAGGGCATCTCAGTCATTGCCATCTCTATCCATGGTCACCAGACCTGCCTGAGGGTGCCATCCTGTGGTCATGTCCTGTGTCACATGCACTGTCCTCAAGGTCTTGCCCAGCATCTCCATGGTGCTTCACCTGCACAGACACCACCAGAGGCTGCAGCACATTCACACTCCACAGCAGCCACCAGTGCCTTCCAGTGACCAGAGCCACCCACACCATCCTGATGCTGGTGGTCACCTCTGTCACATCCTACATACTGGAACCCATTTTCACTTGGGTTACATCCCTGTGTGAGTGGGATCCCCATCTCTGGTGGGTGCAGACCTCCCCTAGTTGGCTTCCTGTTCTCCTGCTCTTCGCCCCTCACTGCGGCTGCTCAGGGATCCTAGAGCTCCTGGGGTCATGAACTGTTGAAAGGGACTGTTGACAATCTAATCTGTGGGTGTCTGTTTATAATATTCTTTTTTATTATTATTTTGCAGTATTTCATTTCACTATTTTTTCTGTCTTATTTTTGTTTGAATTGTTGTTCAAGTAATAATATTCTTAATTACACTGTTTAGTGATCCTTCACTGAATGCCAATGTTGTGCATAAAATCCACAGTGAAGTGTATTTGTAACTTAAAATATAACTGACACACAACCTAGTGTAAGTGTAAGGTGCCCAGTGTGTTTATGTGATCACTTACATTCACTCATGTGCCACCTAACGGTGGTGATCCGCCCTGAGAAGCGTGTGGTTGTGTGATGTTGTGGTTGTGTGAACAGCACAGAGGACCCTCACACCTGGATGGTCTCCCTACTGCTCACCTGGACTGCAGGGCTCAGCCTGTTGCTCCTGGGCTGCAAGCCCGCACAGCACGTTACTGCACAAAACAACACAAGATTAAATCAACACGGGAAAATGACGCCCTCAGGAGACTCAGTAAACACATGTAAGAGGCTGCGGCAACCATAAAAAGCACACTGTTTACTGCAAAATGTTTTTTAAATCTTCAACCAAGGAGGTGTTTATTGATGAGAGACAGAGAGAGAGAGAAACATAGATCAGTTGCCTTTACTTCCTTGCGGCCAACTCCTGTTTGCATGTGAGTGGGCTTTAACGTGCACAGATGAACGAATCCCTTTAGTAAGAATTTCTCATTTACAAGGTTAACATTTTAAATTTTTACAGTGAATATACATTCATCATATGAATTGTTTATTATCTATGTTCACATAATTAATTTAAAAAGCATTGTTGACATGCATAAAAGGGAAAACAGATGGGGAGGAAAGTCAAGAGCTCAGCCCAGGGCTGACAGTGCTGGGCTCCATGTCTGGGCTCTGGGCAATGAACTTGCACACCTTCCCCCACTCCTCACTCAGGGCGCTGCCCTCTGTGGAGGACAGCTGGGTCTTTCCCTTCTTTTGAGGCATGGTCATTAGTATCTCATCAACTCTTTGTTGCTTTTAAGAAGTTGGTCTTTTTATTACACATGGCATTTTTAGCTAGTTTCAGGGGGAGGATTTGTCCACACCATCTAGTTCCCTTGTTCAGGAATGGGATTTCTAAGGCAAACCGTTAGTCCTAGAGGACATGGTCAGAATCTGATCTGAAATCACAATCTGAGGATGATCTGTCAGGAGATTTATAAGTGCAGAGATTTGATGTAATTTGTTCTTTAAAACATTATTCATCCCAGCCAGGGTACATGGCTGGGTTGCAGGCCCATAACCCCCCAGCAACTGCACATTGATGTTTCTCTCTCTCTATCTCCCTCCCTTCCCTCTCTAAAAATAAATAAATAAAATCTTTAAAAAAAACATTATTCATGTGCATACAAGAGTTTTCAAAAGACACCCAAGAATATAAAAATTAAATAAGTCACATGTCCCCCTGCTCCCTCAGTCACTGAACTTGTCTACCTACAAATAATCACAGTGAGTCACTTCTGATTTCTCCTCCCAGCAAAAATACATCTGTGCACTGATGTTGCTGTTATGTCTGTGAAAATAGCTCAGGCCACAGACTGGGAGAAAATGTTTACAAACCACTTGTTTTAGACTACACATAAGAATTCTCAAACTCAATAATAAGGTAACAATAACTCAATAAAAATTGATGAAAATTCTTAACAGACACTTCACCAAAGAATTACATCAGCCCTGGGTGGGTGGCTGGGTTGGTTGGAGTGTTGTCCCATGTGGCAAAGGGTTGTGGCTTCGCTGCCTGCTCAGGGCACATTCCTGGGTGTAGTGTCCGACCCCCATCCAGGTGCCCATGGGAAGCAACCTATCGATGTTTCTCTCTCACATCAATGTTTTCCTCTCTCCCTTTTCCTCTCTCTGAAAGCAATGGAAAAAAAGTCCATGCCAGTGGGGAAAAAAATGTCCTTCAGTGAGAATAAAAAAGAGGACAACAGAAAAGAAAATAAGGAAGTAAAGTTTTATTCAAGGAAGTGGCACCAAACCCAGAGTCACAGGAGAGTTGTTGCTCTTAAGACCTGGCTCCCTAATGGCTTCTAGGGGACTGAGGGACTTAGGGCCAAGGTCTCCACTGATTGGTCAGAACTCCAGGGAGGGGTGGGTATCATTGCATCTGGTTCTATGTCACCAATGTGGCCATTCTGTCTGGTTTTACAAGTTCATTCTACTACTCTCCCCAGAGTCTAAATCTTCATGAGCACGTATTTGAACACATTGGTTATTCAACCACCTCCATCTCTGCAGACACCTGTCACAGCCCTCAGTGTTCCCACAGGTGCACTGGCTCCCACACACCTGGAGCCAGGAGACACCCTGGATGTCTTCGCCTCACCCAAGGCAGCCCTGGCCTGTCCTGCTCTGGCTCCCTCGTCACCTGGATCCCACGTGTTCTTTTTTTCTTTTTTTTTCTGGCTTTGCTTCCTCATTTTTCCCAGTTCACCTGATAGTATTTTCCAAAAGAGAACATGGAAACTTAACCATTAAAACTCTAAACACATGAGGAAACTTAAGTCACTTTAACCCTTATTCTCATCTTCACTTGATACAGAACTCTGCATTGGAAATATGTTTTTCTTCAGAAACTGGAAGGAATTGCTTCAATGTCTCCTAGTCTCCAGGCACACATTGGCTGCCTCTTGAAGTTTTCAAAATCTCTCCCACCCTGTTTCTGAAATTCTGTTGTGATGATCCCAACAGGTTTGCTCTGAAGATTACACTTGACCCTCTATGTAGATCTCATGGTAACACTGCCTGAGACACCTTGAGCATTCCTCTGTCCATAGTTACCATCATTCTAGCAATTAGAGCATTTAGATACATGTGATCCTTTTGCTTTTATAAAACTATAATACAAGAAACATTCTTCTATCTGTATATAGATGAGGAGAATGTATGATTATCTTCTTAGGATAAATTCCCAAAAGAGGAATTTCTGTGTCAAATGCAAACACATTTAAATTGCTGAGACCTTTTGCAAAAGCATCTTTCAGGAGTTTTGTCCCTGGTTTTCAACCCCTTCAACCTTCACAACAGAATGTGTTCCCCACCCTCGGGCTGAAACCTCATCATTTGCTTTCATCTTTGCCCAAATGATAGATTTTTATTTTAGCTCCTACTTTTCTTAACACACATTCTCATTTTTATTTATATGTATTTATTACAAATATAGTTGTTTGACATTTGCATTTCTTCTTTTCCAAACTGTTTTCTAATATTCTTTATTTTTGAGTGGGTTGTAGATATATTTAAATGTTGAATTTAAGAAGAAAGGAAAAGCAGCCCCGAACATTAGAATTTGTCTGGCACTTAGAGGGAGGCCCCGTGTTGCCCGAAGCCAGCCTGGTGCTCACTGCTAGGTGGGGTTACTCTCTGGTTGGACATACACGGTCTCATGGAACATCAGCATCAGACAAGGACATCCCAAGAGCACAGCAACAGGATACAAAACAACACCACACTGTGTGTGGTCTCAGCACACATAGAAAGGAGACAATGGTGCAGCTCACACACTACCAAGCAGCTCCCGGGCTGGCCAACAGAAGGGAAGACAGCGTCTTTCCTATCACCCCTCACCCTCATCCCCATCTTCCTCATCCAGTCATCTTCTGTCTGGGACAGAAATACACATGAAGCTGCTGTATAACAAACAAAACTAGGTTTCTGTGGGTCTCGTGACTTTGAGCACAGGCTATAATCAGTTCCAAACAGAAAACACCTGTCCCCCCACCTGCCTTCCCAGACTGAGGACACTCTCTGAAATCTTATTTCCAGGGGGTGAGCTTTCTTCTAGAAGAACCCAGGGGCAATGTTTTCAGCAGAGTGTGGTGATGCACGGCTGCCACCTCAAGGAGAGGGGTTCTAGGAAGTGAGGAGGACAGTGGGGAGACTCCCCATGGTTTATCCAGAACAACCATTCTCAAAGTGTGCTCTGTGGAACCCTTGAAGTTTCTCAGACCCTTTCACGGGATCTATAAGGTCAAAACTATTTTCATAGGTTAAGGACATCCTTGCTTTGTCACTGTGCCCACATGTGCACAGAGGTAAACTTAGCAAGAACAGAGACTGGGACACCCAACTACATTAGCAGGCATTCCTCACTACGACTCCCTCACAGACTAGACAACAAAACCAGTGTCACTTTACAACGACATGGTTGAAGGATTGAAAAATATTACTTTTACTAAATCATCTTCCTTGAATCAACAGTTTTAAAAATCTTGGTTTCCAGTCAAGATGGCTATGAAGATAAATGGAGTGCTTTCATGACCCTACAGCTACATCAGAATCACAACTGCACTGCAAACAACCATCATTCAGAACCATGATCTTCGTCCAGGTGACAAACCCGAGTTAGAGCACTGAGTTCAGCATGCTGGGCAGATTTTACCTCCAGTTGATGAGAGCTCTCAATTATGTCCACCATGGACGTTACTGGATGTTCTGCTCGCTAATGTCCCTGGTCATCTCTCAGATAACATCCCTCTGTAACCAACTTAAAGCAGCAGCATCAATAGGAGTTTTCTGTAAATCATTCCTAGGAAGCAGTAGGTGGTCAGTCAGCACAACACAACTGTCTCCATGCTGTAAAGGGGGTAACAGGTGCAGGGTTAAGGTGATCACACCGAGTTCAAGTGACATCAGGTGCAGAGAGCAGGACACTTCCTGAGAAGCCAAAGGACAGGCGGAGACGTGGTGAGTGGGATGAGAGGTCAGTGAAGAGTCAGCAGAATGAGGAACACAAATACTTAAGAGAACACCACAACTGTCACTTGTGTCTGGTTATGGAGCTTAGAGGTAGCAGACCTGGGTCTCCCCCCACCCCCACACCCACCCCCACAGGGAGGTGGAAAGAGTCCACGAGAAAGGCTCAGGGCACAGTTCTGGGTTCCCCAGCCCTGCGGGCCTCATGAGGCTGACTCAGTTCCCGCCCCCGTGGGCACCTGAATAATAGAGCAACCAATTCTTCTCACTATGGTTTCAGTAACAAGTCCTCAAGATAACGGTTCTCTGTCTCCCAGACCCGCGTGATATGGGTCATGAGACCCAGACCCCTGCTCCTGCTGCTCCTGAGGGTCCTGGCGCTGACCAAGACCTGGGCTGGTGAGTGCGGGGTCGGGAGGGAATGGCCAGGGTGCGGGGCTGGAGCGTGGGGACTCGGAGGGGACACAGCACCCCGGACCCAGACCCCAGGAGCTCGGACTTCTGCCCCAGCCCTGTCCCCTTCCCCCGCCCCTCCTTTCAACCGCAGCCCCCCCTTTCGTTCCGCCCCCGACCCCATGGGGCCCCTGCCCCTGCCGGCCCCACCGGGGACCCAGGACAAACGTCCTACCCGCCCCCAGACCCCCACAGCCTAAGATACTTGCACACCGCCTTGTACGGACCCGGCCGCGGACAGTACCGGTACATCGTCGTCATCTACGTGGACGACTCGGAGATCCTGCGGTTCGACAGCGACGCCGCGAGTCCCAGGCTGCAGCCTCGGGTGCAGTGGATGGAGCAGCCGTGGGTGGAGCAGGAGGGCGCACAATTTTGGGAGCAGCAGACTCGGGAAATCAAGCACAACGAGCAGTGGAGCAGAGCGAACCTGAACGAGCTGAGCGCCCACTACAACCAGAGCGACAACGGTGAGCCACACGCGCCCGGGTTGTGGCGATGCCCCCATCCCCATGGACGGGCCGCCTTCACCCCGAATCTGAGAGTCTCAGCGTTACCCCGACCAGGGATGGGACCCGCACGTGTCCCAACCCCGAACGAACACCACGCGGGGATTTTGAGTCTGTATCACTTTCAGTTTAGGATTACTGCAGGGGGCACTGGGTCAGGAGGAACTTTCCTAGGAGCCTGTTTCATTGGTCGCTGCTGACCTGGGGGCGGGGTCAGTGTCCCCCACTTGGCAGGAAGCGACAGGCTGCGTTGTGGAGTCAGAGGACCGGCGCTTCCTCCACGGATTCAGTCAGTTCGCCTACAACAGCGCCGACTACGTCGCCCTGAACCAGGACCTGCGCTACTGGAATGCAGCTGCCGGGATCAGCTGGAGCAACATTGTGCGGGTCCCTGACGCGGACGTTCAGAGGGTCTTCCTGGAGGACACGTGTGTGCACCGGCTCCGCCTGTTCCTGGAGAAGGGGAAGGGGACTCTGCTCCGAGCAGGTACCAGGGCGCGGGCCTCCCCGAGGAGGGGATCTGAGGGCTGGGGCGGCTTCCTACAAGGAGAGGAGGGAACTGGGGCAGTATCAGAATCCCCCTCCTTCTCCGGAGAGGGAAGAGTCCCCCGGATTTCCTTATTCTGTGACTCCCCCACCAGCCCAACTTTCCCTAAAGGACAATAAGGGACCCAGCCTCTCCCTGAAACACCCCAGAGCAGTTCCCTCACACCCTGCAGCACCTGGTGCACCAGGACACTCTCCCTGGTTCTCAGGCTGAGACCCTCTCTGGAGGCCTGATTTGGGCTTTTCTGAGTCATCAGCCTCCCCCTGAGTCTGTGTCTCCACACAGAGACCTGGACACTCCTACCCTAGGTTCTCACCATGAGTCTGGAACGTTCCAGGAAATAAGAAATGATCCCAGATGACTGTCCAGGCTGGTGTCTGGGTGGTGAGCTCCCTTCACCCACCCCGTGTCCACTCTCAGGGTGGTCACAGGAGCACTGATGGAGTGTCCCATGACCATGCAAAGTTCCTGAATTTTCTCACTGTCCCCCTCAGACCCTCCAAAAACACTCCTGACCCACCACCCCATTTCTGACCATGAGGGTCACCCTGAAGTGCTGGGCCCTGGGCTTCTACCCCTGCTGACATCACCCTGACCTGGCAGCGTGAAGGGGGAGGACCTGACCCGAGGACATGGACCTGGTGGACACCAGGCCTGCAGGGGACGGGACCTTCCAGAAGTGGGCAGCTCTGACTGTGCCCCCTGGAGAGGAGCAGAGATACATGTGCCATGTGCAGCACCAGGGGCTGCCCGAGCCCCTGACCCTGAGATGGGGTGAGGAGGGGATGTGGGCACAGAGCCTCTCCTCAGGGTGTCCCTGAGCAGGGTCAGGACTCAGGCCTGAAGTTGAGCTCTCACCTTCCCCTTGTAGACCCCTCTCCTCAGACCACCATCACCATCATGGGCATTGCTGCTGTCCTGGGTCTCCTTGGAGCTGTGGTCACTGGAGCTGTGCTGTGGGAGGGAGGAAGAGCTCAGGTGGGCAAGGGGTGGGGCTGAGTTCCCTGTCCCCCTGGGGGTCAAGCCCAGGTGGAAGAGAGTTCTGCCTCATTAAAGGGCATCATGTCCCCACACTGGTGCTTGTCCATATGGGGCCTGTTTCCTAACACTGACTCTTTAGTGAGGCCCGTGGGAAAGTGACAGACACATTTATCACCTGATGATTCTAGCAATGAGGACTGATATGCAGCTGTCCCAGGTCAGAGGGAAAGGTCCCTGCTGAGGACAGATGTCCAGAGGGGTGTTATGTTCAGTCCCGGCACATGTACTTTCCCTGTATTTCCTGATCCTACTCTTGCTGTTGAATCACTGTTCTGAAACCTTCCTCATGGTTCAGGAGTGGGGCTCCTTTAGGGTCACAGGACCCAGTCTTTCCTCTGACATCACACAGTAGATTTTCTTCACACAGGCAGAGTCAGGGAGAAAGACGCTCAGGCTGCCTGTAAGTCTGGGTGTTGGGAGGTGACATCTGGGTCCCTTGGGAGAGTGTGGGCTGGATCTGTGAGGTGGGCTTCCCCACCCATAACTCTGCTGTTGTGTCTTCCCCAGGCAGTGACAGTGCCCAGGGCTCTGATGTGTCTCTCACAGCTCCTGACAGTGAGACCCTGAGGGCAGGAAGTGGGATTTGGACCGAGGAGCACAACTCGATTTTGGGGATCCCCACAGTGGGACAATTGAGCCGCGGTGGCTGTGGGAGAATGTGACACTTCTGAGACTGACCTGAGTTTGTTCACGACAACTTTCTTTCCCAGCGTGACAGAGCTGCCTTGTCCTGGTTTGGTGCTAAAACAGCCACTGCAGCCTCCCCTTGGGACTTTCAGGATCCCTCACTACTGTTTCTGCAACCAACATCAGAATGTGTCTGCATTTTCATCAGTATTATGTGAGGAGCAGGTCACCAGGCCACCCTCCCCACAGAGACCTGTGTCCTCTCATCTGGGTCCTGTCCTGTCCTAGCAGAGCTGGAGTGAGACCATCCCCATCCTGGTCATTTCTCATCTGGGTCATCTTTGTTGCTCCTTTGTCTTTGCCATTTCAGGAGAACCTTGTCCCACTAGGACCTGGGATCCCAGGTACTTCAATGTCACCCAGGGCCTTGTCCTCACTCTAGGACTGTGCTCAGTGAGGGCTTCCTGTGACCGTGTCAGCCTGGGCTCAGGCCTGGGTCTGGCCCTCAGCCTCTGTTTTGGGTATTTTATTGTTTCTTTCTTTTTGTACATGTTGTATGTACTCTTATTTTCTTATTAAATTAATGGCACATTTTTATTAGATTATTGGGGTGTGTTTTTATTATATGTATTGGGGTACATTGGTTAAGAGGATCATGTAGGTTTCAGATGCACATTTCTACAATACAGGATCTGTACATTGCACTGTGTGCCCACCTCCCAAGTCAAACCATCTTCCCTCACCAGGTATTAGGCCCCTCCTTCCCCAACCCCCTTCCCTCTGGGGGCCACCACACTGCTGTCTGTGTCCATGAGTTTCAAGTTTATGTCCCACATGTGAGAGAAATCATGGGGTTCTTAGCTTTTTCTCACTGACCTATTTCACTTAGCATGATATTCCCGAGGTCCATCCATGTTGTTGCAAAGGGCAGTATTTTGTCATTTCTTAGGGCTAAGTACCTCCTCCTCAGGGAACTTAGAACATTTTCCCTGTCTCCTGCCCACTGCTCCTGAGGGACATCTCAGTAATGACCATCTCAGTCCCTACTATGGAGACCTGCCTGACTGTGCCTGCCCTCATGGGGTCATGTCCTGTGTCACGTTCACTGTCCTCACAGTCTGGTCCAGCATCTCCACGGTGCTTCCCCGCACAGACACCTCCAGAGGCTTCAGCACATTCATACCCCTGTAGCCACCAATGCCCTCCAGTGACCAGAGCCACCCACATTGTGCTCATGCTGGTGGTCACCTGTGTCACCTCCCATGCACTAAATTCTATTTCCAGTTTTTCCATCACTGTATGAGAGGGCCCCCATCTCTGGTGGGTGCAGACCTCCCCTAGTAGGCTTGCTGTTCTCCTGCTCCTCACCCCTCATGGCAGATGCTCAGGGATCCTAGAGATCCTGGGGTCATGAACTGTTGGAAGTGGCTGTTGACAATCTCATCTGTGGGTGTCAGTGTTTACAATATTCTTAATTACATTGTTCAGTGATCCTTCACGGAATGCCAAAGTTGTACATAAAACCCATTAGAACTTTATTTTTAAGTTAAAATATAACTGACACACAACCTGTGTAAGTGTAAGGTGCCCAGTGTGTTTATTTCATGCACTTATATCACTCATGTGCCCCCTAAAGGTGTTGATGTACCCTGAGAAATGTGTGGTTGTGCGATGTTGTGGTTGTGTGAACAGCACAGAGGCTCTCACACCTGGATGGTCTCCCTACTGCTCACCTGGACTGCAGGGCTCAGCCTGTTGCTTCTGGGCTGCAAGCCTGCACAGCACATTGTTCTATAGAGCAACTTGTACACTTTTACTTTAGTTGTAATTTCTCATTTATAGGTTTTAACATTTTATAATTTTTATAGGGAATATGCATGCATCATAGAAATTGCCTATTATCTATATGCACATAATTAATTTAAAAAGTGTTGTTTACATGTATAGAAGGGAAGGCAGACAGGGAGGAAAGTGAAGAGCTCAGCTCAGGGCTGACAATGCTGGGCTCCATGTCTGGGCTCTGGGCAATGAACCTGCAAACCTTCCCCCACTCCTCACTCAGGGCGCTGCCCTCTGTGGAGGCCAACCTGGGTCATTTCCTTCTTTTGGGCCATGGTCATCCTCAATGATCTGTTGCTTTTAAGAGGTGACTTTTTTTTATTACACATTGCATTTTTACCCTTTTTCAGTGGGAGGATTTGGGCACACCCTGTAGCCCTTTTTGTCAGGAAAGGAATTTCTGAGGCCAATGGTTTGTCCCAGTGAAGAGGGTCAGAATCTGAATCTTAAGTCGTGATGTGAGGATGACCTGTCAGGAGTTTCATAAGTGAAGGGATTTTATGTAACTTGTTCTTTGAAAACATTACTCATGCACATATAGGAGTACTCAAAAGACCCTCAAGAGGGGTAGAAGATATGGAGAATAAATAGCATAGATGGTAGGTAGAAAATAGACAGGGGGAGGGCATGAGTAGTATGGGAAATATAGAAGCTAAAGAACTTATGATACATGGACATGAACTAAAGGGGGGAATGTGGGTGGGAGAAGGTGTGCAAGGTGGAGGGGAGTGAAGTGGGGGAAATGGGACAACTGTAATAGCATAATCAATAAAATATATTTTTAAAAAAGACTCTCAAGAATATACAAAATTGAATGAGTTACACTGTCCCCCTGCCCCCTCAGTCACCTCAGTCCTCTACCAGGAAACCATCTCAGTGAGTCACTTCTGCTTCCTCCCCCCAGGAAAATCCACCTGTACATTAATGTTGCTGTTACGTGTGTAAAAACAGCTCAGGCCACAGACTGGGAGAAAATGTTTGCAAATCATTGTTTTAGAATATACATAAGAATCCTGACACTCAACAAGAAGAAAACAACAACTCAATACAAAGTGATCAGTACTCTAGACAGACACTTCACCAAAGAATCTATGTCAGCCCTGGGTGGGTGGCTCAGTGAGTTGGAGTATTGTCCCATGCAACCATAGGTTCTGGGTTTGACCCCTAGTCAGGACACATAGGTAGGTTTAATGTACGATCCCCAGTCCAGAAGCCCATCGGTGTTTCCCTCACAGCCCAGTTCTCTGACCCACCAGACTGCTCATGACTCAGTGGTCCCAACTCATTTGGTAGCCGACGCTTAATCAAAACTCTCTCACACCTCCCCCAATACACATCTGATGCCAACTCTAATGGCTGGTGCTCAGACAAACCTTCCTGTACCTGGGAGTAGCCTGGCTCTTTAGCTTCCCTACAGCCCTGGCTCACATCCTCCAACCCTGAGAAAACAGCCCAGAAGAACAAGACAATAAATCTTCCCCTACCTCCCTACAACCCCTGTGCTTTCTCTTTTAAAAACCCCATTCTTGCCTCCCTCCACCCCCAACCAGGCTGCAGTCTGGTCCAACTCAGCCCCCCTGTAAATGCAGCATCAAATAAAGGCACTTGGATTAGATTATCCAGCTCCTCCTGCCTCTACCTCTTGCACATGTCTAACAATCTGTGTAGATCCCAGAGTGCTGCCTGAGTCACCATGAGCAATCCTGTGTGTGCAGTTACCATCATTCTGTTGATTGGAGCATTTGGAGACATTACACCCTTTTGCTTCCATAAAACCACAACACAACAATCATCCATAAGTGTGTGTGTGTGTGTGTGTGTGTACATATATATATATATATATATATATATATATATATATATATATATATATATATATAGAGAGAGAGAGAGAGAGAGAGAGAGAGATGTCATTATGTTCTTAGGACAAATTCCTATAAGAGGAATCTGTGTCAAAATGTAAGCACATTGAAATTGCTGTCTCCTTTTGCAAAAGCATCCTTCAAGAGTTTGTCCCAGTTTTCAACCCCTTCAACCTTTTGCAAAAGAATGTGTTCCCCACCCTTGGGCTGATAAGCTGATCATTGGCTTTCATCTTTGCCAAACTGATAGATTTTTATTTTATTCCTATTTTTCTTATTCTGCATTCTCATTTTTGCTTACATGCATTTACTACAAATGTAATTGTTTACCATAGGCATTTATTCTTTTTCAAGTTGTTTCTTAATCTTCTTTATCTTTTGGCTGAGTTGTAAACTTTTTCTTATTTTTAGAGACAGAGGAAGGGGGGAAGAAAACCAGGGAGAGAAACATGAATGTGTGATTCCTTCTTCTGTGCCCCCTACTGGGGACCTGGCCAGCAAGGCAAGCATGAGCCCTGACTGGTACTGAATTGGCGTCCCTTTGCTTAGCAGTCCAGCACTCAATCCACTGACCCTCACCAGCCTGGGCTGAATATCTAAATATTTTAGATAGTCAATTGAAGAAGGACAAAGAAAATGCCAGAATAATAAAGTGCTTCCCAGAACAGAAAAAGCCAAAGGACTTTATCACCACCAAACCAGTATCACAAGAAATGTCAAAGGGTCTTCTTTGAGAACAACAAGAAGAAGAAAATAAAAATACCCATAATGAAATAGCAAAAAATACACGTAAATCCAAATTTACTGTAAGTGAAAATGGATTAATTGCTCTAAATAGGAAAAGAAGACCCTCACCTGTGCTGTCCACAGGAGACTCAGTCTGAAGGACACACACACAGACTGGAAGAGGAGGAATGTAAAGTACATTTCAGGGAAATGGAAACCAAGAAACAAACAAAGCTGGGATAGCAATGTGTACACCAGACAACACAGACTTGAAAACAAAGGTGACATAAGTTGACACAGAGAAGGACCCAGCATTTCCACTTCTGGGTATTTATCTGAAGAAACCCAGATCAGTACACGGAAAAGACATACACATCCATATGTTCACTCTAGCCTTATTTACCACAGCCAAGATATGGAAGCAACCTAAGCGTCCTTCAATAGATGAATGGAAAACACAGAGTGGTTCATCTACACTACAGAGTATGACTCAGCCACAAACATGCATGAAATCTCTTCATTGGCAACAACATGCATGGACGGTGTTGTGCTGAGTGAAATACATCACACAGAGAAAGACAAATGCCAGGTGATTACACTTCCATGTGGAATCTACAAATTAAGTCATCAAGCAGAACAGAGACTCACAGATACAGGGAACAGACTGATGTTTGCCAGATGGGTGGGGGTGAGTGGGCCTGGTAAAAATGGTGACGAGATTAAGCAGTACAAATTGGTCATTACAAAATAATCAGTGGGATGAAAAGTCCAGCATAGGGAATATAGTCATTAATAGTTTAATAACTAAAAATGGTGTCAGATGGGTACTAGATTTATGGGCAACATCAGTTTGTAATTTATATACATGTCTAACCACAGAGTTGTACAGAAACTAATATAATATTGTACATCAACTGTACATGAGAAAGAAGGACTTCTGACCAAGATGGAGGTGTAGGTAGACACACTGTGCCTCCTCCCACAACCAACAGAAGGACAACAACAATTTAA